TTGTGACCGTCATCGTGGTCCTGCTGCCGCCGCTGGCCGTGCTTCAGGTGAACGGAAATTGGTTGTAAGTATCGCCATTCCTCAGAGACATTCTTCTGCATTGCCCTGTCATCCGCGTTTCGCTTTTGAACCCTGCTTTTGGTAGCAGATCACTTCGATCGGCGATGATCCCTACTTGCCTCGCCTCGATAAGGCTCTATACTATTTGCCACCACCGCCAGCTGCAGCTGTGCCGTTTCTTCGTTCTCTCGCTTTCTTACAGAAAACACATCTACCGTGTCTACCTGTGTACATTTGGTCTCGGATTTCTTCGCTTCTTCAGCAATGAACGATTCACGTCTCACGTACTGCGTTCGAAAACTCAGCTGTGGCAAAACACTCTCGCTAATCTCGGGGCTCATTAGAAAGGCTAAAAATTATTAGTGAATATCAGCTTTAATATTAGCCATATATGAAAGTGAAAGGTAGCGTGGTCTCTGCTCTTTCTATAGCTTTGTGGGTGAAGGGAGGATAGACGTGCAGCTTCGAACTTTGGAGGAACCCGGTTCGAATCATGAAATAATTTTCTAACCGCCAATTCTTTTCAGCAAGGAATTCAAATTAATCTGCTTTCTTGCAACCGGCCAACAAACAAGCAGTTGACCTGCGAACAACAAGACATTTGGTGTGGTCACATTAAGCCGTGCTATCTGATGGGAGCATTTTCTGGCAGCAATTCGCTTTCACCCACCTAACTGCTGACAATCCAGTGTAGTAATCAATATAACGGGTAAACCTTTAGTAATACCATGAGATCTCCCAACACGACAACTTTCAAAAACGGATTTATTAACAAACGTCTGTAATACGTCAGGCGCATGGACCTGTTTGTCACAATATATTTCTCAGTTAAAACCAAACATTTGAAACTCTGGTAATGAGTGAGTCACAGTTAATCATTCGGCCTATTTTATTGAAATTTCTGAAGAAGGAATGCAAATTAAATTTTTGCTTTTTGATCCTCAGAATTTTAAAGATGGCTCAAGTATG